TCTCTCTCTCTCTCTCTCTCTCTCTCTCTCTCTCTCTCTCTCTCTCTCTCTCTCTCTCTCTGTCTGTGTGTGTGTGTGTGTGCGTGTGTGTGTGTGTGTGTGCGTGTGTGTGCGTGTGTATGTGTCCCCCTCCCTTGTGTGTGTGTGTTTATGTGTCCCCCTCCCTTGTGTGTGTGTGTGTGTGTGTCTCCCCCTCCCTTCCGGCGGGATGATTCATCATCTTATCGTCGTCGCCACAAGTCAACACATTGGTCCGACTCCTTGCCTCCAGTACACACCCAGTGGCTGACCCACTTTGTGAACCCGTGGCGGACCAACCCACGGCATCTTTGAGAGCCGTGGCTGACCCAGTTTGTGAGAAGCCGCGGAGATAGCGCATCCTTCCCACTGTCCCAGGCCCTTGTCTCATCCACCTTTCCCCGGGAATGAAAGAATCTAATCACGACGTTATAGGGGTGCCAATTGCACATGTTTACGGGGGGGATTCAAGCTGGACAAATGGTCGAGATTGTACTTGTATACCTACACACTGCTTGCTGCTCAGCCCCTTGTTTCATCCTCTACTTGCCACCACACAGCACACAGTGCACACACACGACCCCCACAATGGCTGGAAAACCGCCAGCCAAAAAACGGGCCCCGTCTTGCAGAACTTTGTTCGTCGCCAATCGCGAAAACTTCCCGGCTCGAACCTACCGGACCCCACAATGGCTAGCGACGCCAGCCAAAAAACGGGGGGAAAAAAAGGCGCTGCTGCGGTGCGGAGAAGCTTGGCGCGCCGCGCAGCGCTTGCCAGTGACAATCGCATTCGTCCCGCTCTGACGTCTGACGACACTGGAACCAATAATCCTCTGGCGCGCAGTGCAGCTCTGACGACACTCGAACCAATAATCCTCTGGCGCGCAGTCCAGCTCTGACGACACTCATGCTTGCCACATTGATTGGAACAACGATGCAAAGATTGCCAGATGACCAAAGGGCACACGTGGCCGGAAAATTTCCACCTTGCGCAGTCAGTAGCACGAAGCATGCCACCTCACTCATCAGGCCCTTGCGGATCTCAGAAAAGCTAGAACATTCCAGTGCACGGTTATGGGACTCGCTGCACTACTTTCCAAACGTGCAAAATGAGACGGAATCCACCGCTAGAACATGGAAAGATACATTGCCATCTTTTCTGTCGTTTGCGCCTGTGGAGAGTAGTTGGAGCGAGGCCCTATCACTTCGTTTATCAAGCCATGGGCGACAAAATCATTTCTATATCTAGAAATGCCGCCCGAAGCTTGCAGCTCTGCTAGAGCTGACGACACTCAGCTCTCGAGGTTGGAGGCTGTCTACTTTCGAGAGCTAAGTGTGACGAGAACCATCCTACCTCCGCCTACCTCCAGTTGGATAAAACAAAAAGACTCGCAATTACAAGAGGGAGGGCATACAATATTTGCCGCCGCAGCCCCGGCTCACCTCGAACTTCATCAAGGATCGGGTAAAAAAAAAAAAA